CGTTGGAGGAAAAAACATATGTTGTTGTTTTGTTGTTTGTTTCTAATCTTTTGTTTCGGGGCGTGTGTTGTTCTCTGAGAGCATTTATAAAATTTATTTATGCTAAAGTTCTCCCCGTAAGATTGTCTTGTGAATAGTTTGACACATTTTTTTCCCTCATAGTAAAAAAAGGGAAGTAACAAATGATCTGTCTTGAAAGAAAACTTAGTTTTAAAACTTTTTCGGTTTTCAATTTATGCTGTAGGCCTACGTCATTACAATGGCCGGATCTAGACCCCCCCCCTCCCGCTAATTTTTTTCGGGCCCTATAAACCATGAGTCATGAAATTGGTTTGAAGGTGCCTATTCTTCAAACTACAGCTGATGTATTTTTATTTCATGCAACAGTGTGTTAGATGCTGTAGAGCAATCACTGATGTAGTAGATCTGTTAGTTGTTTACAAAACCTATTGTCTATCAGGGTGTAGAAGTCTAGTTCCGCCTCTACATGTGCGCGCCACAGTTTATCATTAGCATTTCTATTCGCCTCACTAGTATCAAATCATAGGTGAACGGGAAAAATTCACAGGAAAAAAAAACAAAGAAAAAAGGTCACAGGAAAAAAAGTCACAAATATATATTTGCATGGAATTTGTTAATATTTTTTTGTTTTACATATTCAGAAAGTGCAAATCAACTTAGATTAATTAAATATAATGATATATACATAGGTTGTATACGTACAGTGATGTTTATAACACATTCAAATATTTAGTGTGAAGTATTTACGTTTTAATTCCTTTATACATTTAATAAACTGCTCCAACCTTCTCTTTTTGTCATAGTGTTAAATACAAACTTTAAATTGGCGCCAAATGGTTTGCTGCCCTCAACACATTGCAACAATAGTTCAACCACCTGCACTGCCTGCATTTATCACCCACATTACATGACAAAGAAAAGGGTAAAAAAAGAAAGCCGACACGGTACGAAGGCTGTCATTGACGCAAAAGTAGCATATTACTATTATTAGGTCACATTTGGGTATACGGTCGATCGGGAGCAGGAGCAGGTGGAGGAGATCGTGACCTCGTGACCTGCGCGTGACTCCGCCCCTTGTGTTCCGTGACGACAAGTAAATACTTAGCCAGCTATCTCATCATCAGTTCATTATGTACCCATTTATCTCATTACATCATCAGTTCTTTATGTACCCATTTATCTCATTACATCATCAGTTCTTTATGTACCCATTTATCTCATTACATCATCAGTTCTTTATGTACCCATTTATCTCAATACATCATCAGTTCTTTATGTACCCATTTATCTCATTACATCATCAGTTCATTATGTACCCATTTATCTCATTACATCATCAGTTCTTTATGTACCCATTTATCTCATTACATCATCAGTTCTTTATGTACCCATTTATCTCATTACATCATCAGTTCTTTATGTACCCATTTATCTCATTACATCATCAGTTCTTTATGTACCTATTTATCTCATTACATCATCAGTTCTTTATGTACCCATTTATCTCATTACATCATCAGTTCATTATGTACCCATTTATCTCATTACATCATCAGTTCTTTATGTACCCATTTATCTCATTACATCATCAGTTCTTTATGTACCTATTTATCTCATTACATCATCAGTTCTTTATGTACCCATTTATCTCATTACATCATCAGTTCATTATGTACCCATTTATCTCATTACATCATCAGTTCATTATGTACCCATTTATCTCATTACATCATCAGTTCATTATGTACCCATTTATCTCATTACATCATCAGTTCATTATGTACCCATTTATCTCATTACATCATCAGTTCTTTATGTACCCATTTATCTCATTACATCATCAGTTCTTTATGTACCTATTTATCTCATTACATCATCAGTTCTTTATGTACCCATTTATCTCATTACATCATCAGTTCATTATGTACCCATTTATCTCATTACATCATCAGTTCATTATGTACCCATTTATCTCATTACATCATCAGTTCTTTATGTACCCATTTATCTCATTACATCATCAGTTCTTTATGTACCTATTTATCTCATTACATCATCAGTTCTTTATGTACCCATTTATCTCATTACATCATCAGTTCTTTATGTACCCATTTATCTCATTACATCATCAGTTCTTTATGTACCCATTTATCTCATTACATCATCAGTTCTTTATGTACCTATTTATCTCATTACATCATCAGTTCTTTATGTACCCATTTATCTCATTACATCATCAGTTCATCATGTACCCATTTATCTCATCATCAGTTATTTATGTGGCCAGCTATCTCATCGGAAAAAAAGTCACAGGAAAAAAACACAGAAAAAAGTCACAGTTTTTGCTAGGAAAAAAAGTTACAGAACAAAAGTCACAAACGAAAAATTTTGTCGGAAAAAAGTCACAGAAATAAAGTCACAGAAAAAAGTCACAAAATTCATTTTAAGAAATATTTTGATTTAATTGTTGTTTATTATTAAATTTTGGGTGTTTATTAATGTGGGTGGTGTTTGTATTTTTGGTAGCATATTTGCAACCTTTAAAGCATTTTGGTTTATAACAATGATAAATAAAAATACAGTAAGATAATTTACACAGCAACCTCAACTTTTGTTACGTATTTAGAAAAATACACTGTAGAAAAATTAATTATAAAAGAAATGTAGACACATCATTGTGTTTTGCATGTGTTTTTTTTTTGCCGCAGGCCATTCATTGGTCGACCTCTCCTCAGTCGACGTAGTACGTCCATATTGTGTATTGTTGACCTTTTGCGTCAATGACAGCCTTTGTACCGTGTCGGCTTTCTATTTAGATCCTAAGCTTTGTTATGTAATGAGAGTGATAACTGTGGACAGTAAATGTGGTTGAAGTATTGTTGCGATGTGTCAAGGGCAGCTAATCACATTTACTACATCTTTATGCAATCGCCCGCTAATTTAAAGTTTATTTTAAAAAATCACGATGAAAACCATGAAGTATTAAATATAGGCCAATAACGAAATTAAAACCAACATACTTCATACTAAATTTTTTTTTTATAAATAGGCCTACAACATACACACATTACATTGCATTTAATTAATCGTAACTTTCTGAATATTTAATACATTAAAATATTAATAAATTCCATGCAAATACATATTTGTGACTTTTTTCCTGTGACTTTCTTTCCTGTGACTTTTTTTTTCCTGTGACTTTTTACTTTCTCGTATATACGAAGTATAGAGAAAGTCTTGTAATCGTGCAAAAAAATCGAGATTTTTATAAATCTCGACGGTTTACACCTCACTGATACGGAAAAACATAATTTTGCAATCTTGTCTGTATGTCTGTGTGTCTGTGTGTCTGTCTGTCTGTCTGTCTGTGTGTAAACACGACAACTTGAGTACCGTTACAGCTAGGTTGATGAAATTTCATATATAAGTATTTTATCAAAATCGTAGATCCGTATCAACTTTTGAGCGATTTCCGATAACCGGAAGTGGTACTTTTTCTACTTTGAATTTTTCAAAAGCCTATAATTTGAGTTCTATTTCAGATAGATAAATGAAATTTCACATGTAAGTAAAAGATCTAATTCTCTACCTTCTGTTAAATTTTGAGTAATTTCCGGAAGTACTAATTTACGCTATTTCCGATTTCTCAAAAAACGCTTGTAAATTTATAAAGTACTAATAATATTTCGCACTATTATGCACTTTTTTTATTTAGCGTTCACTTGGTGTGCAATTCTTTTGTCTCGAGATTTTATTCTATTTTTAAAACTCTAAGTATTTAAAATGGATTAAAAATCATGTCTATAGCCCGAGTTCCAATCCCCTTTTGTTTTATATAAGAACTAGACTACCCGTCATCCGTTGGATAATTGTGGGTTTCGGGGGTCATCCATAAAAAACATCACGTCTTTCACTCAGAGGCGTAGCGACCCTTCCCGGTACCCGGGGACAAACTTTTAGATTTGAACCCCCCCCCCCCCCCGCAAGATTTTGATTTGCAACCCCCCCCCCCCCTCAAACTTTCGATTTGCACCCCCTCAACCATTCAATTTATTTTTCCAACCCATTTTGGCGCCCCCTAAGGTCGGCGCCCGGGGACATATGCCCCCCTCCCCGCTCCCACCACCCCCCCCCCCCTCCAATCGCTACGCTACTGCAATATCACTTATCGTCACAAAAAACAGACCCCACATTCAAAAATACGTTTTTTATCTTTTAAAAACACCGAAAACACCGATTTCTTACAATCCGTTCATATACTGACGTCACAGGTGACCTACTCAACTCTACTTCACCTGCCCAGTGTCCCGCCAAGTCTCAGACAACATGTTTTTATCGTTTAAAAAAAAACGATTCCAGCCGAGCATGTCTATGACCACACTATCCCTTCATATGCTTAGGAGAAATAAACAGATAAAATTATCTAGATCTAGATTCTACGACTCGTTTGCTTAAGTCTTAACTTTAGTTTTTGCGTAAATCTTGCCAGATCTAGATCTAGATCTAATCATTAGCTACGCTAATAGGCCCGGGATCGAGCATTTCAAAATACGCATATTCCAAACAAAGATTCATATAAAATAATAAAGGTCTAAAATAGTTTAGTATATAGAAAATCATTATTATCTAAATCTAGATAGAATTATCTATATTTTAGATCTACGACTGAGCTATATTTAGAATTTACGTTTATAATTTAGCAAAATTAGCAGTATCGAAGCCGCGTATGAATCTTATTCTTAAGCTACGCAAATAGGCCCTGGATCAAGCATTTCAAAATTAGCATAGTCGAAACAAAGATTTATACAAAATAATAAAGGTCTAAAATAGTTTAGTATATAGAAACTCATTATTATCTAAATCTAGATAGATTTATCTATATTCTAGATCTACGACTGGTTTGCTTAAGTCTCTTTTTTTTTGGATTGTATTTATAACTAATAAATCTTTGATTTGACCTAGATTCTAGATCTAGATCTATAAATAACTTTCTTGGACAGATAGTAGATCTAGAGAAATTTATCGTAAAACTAAATGAAAAAGACAGTTGAAAATTGATTTTAAGGGTTGGAACGTAATAAATACAGCAAACGTACGTATTGTTAAAGTTATAGCCGATAGAAAATTAGCTTTAGAACGCGTTAAACTTTGGAATGGGAACACTATCTTCTTCTATGGACGCCGCCATTTTATTGTACTAAAAAGTAAACAAAAAACTGTGACGTCACGGTTCCGTCGAGTCTAGTGGTGTTTCGATGCTTTTTAAAAAAATGTGGTTAATCTACCTATGAATAAACTAATTAACGTCTTTAAATAACTATGTGATTAACAGTCTGTCTGCAATCAAAAAAATTTCTCTACCTACATACTCTTTTACAGCCCCCCATATAAAGCAGTTTCCTTACAGTACGAAATCAGACAAACAAAAAAATAAATATTCAAACATGTAAACAAACTTGAGTTTTAGTAGTATATAGATATTCGAGAAAGTTTAGGGGAGATCACTCCCGGTTTATTTTCTGTGGTTTTTTTTCCTCTGTTTTTTTTTCCTGTGTCTTTTTTCCTACAATCATCTCATCACATCTATAATTAACTTTGCGACCAAGGTGGAGTAGATCGAGATTTTTTAATTTGATGAAAACCAGGTCCACTCTCCGAAACTTAGCTGTTTGTTGTACAGTTTTAACTCTCTTTGGAATTGAATTAAAATGTTTTTTAAATGTACAATTAAACCCATTCTCTTAATAAGTAAAACACAGAATTTAAATGTTGATTTACAATAAATGTGGGAATTGTTTCCAAAGTAGCTGTAAATATGTCAAATTGTGATTCACGATATATTTTAATATATCAAATGATTATATTTACCTCGCTAATTATATTTACCTCACTAATTATATTTACATCACTAATTATATTTACCTCACTAATTATATTTACCTCACTAATTATATTTACCTCACTAATTATATTTACCTCACTAATTATATTTACCTCACTAATTATATTTACCTCACTAATTATATTTACCTCACTAATTATATTTACCTCACTAATTATATTTACCTCACTAATTATATTTACCTCACTAATTATATTTACCTCACTAATTATGCATGATCTCATTCAGCTATGTGCTTACTTAATGATTAAGTGATTACTTGTTTTTTTAAATTGCTTTGGGTGTGCAGGCTTACATTCAGCAAGTTGAGATTTTCAGTTTTGTGACCTGTCTAAAGACAACACACAATATGGACGGTCAATGCCGACTGAGGAGAAGCCGACCAAAGAAAGGCCTACGTCACTGAAAAAAAGTCACAAATGTATATTTGCATGTTAATGTGCATGTTATATTTGCATTGTTAATACTTTAATGTATTAAATATTCCGAGAGTGCAAATCAATTTACAATTATTTACAATTAATTTACAATTAATTTACAATTAATTTACAATTAATTTACAATTAATTTACAATTAATTTACAATTAATTTACAATTAATTTACAATTAATTTACAATTAATTTACAATTAATTTACAATTAATTTACAATTAATTTACAATTAATTTACAATTAATTTACAATTAATTTACAATTAATTTACAATTAATTTACAATTAATTTACAATTAATTAAATGTAATGTAGAGTGTATGCAGAGGCGTCGTTAGGCGGGGGCGGGGTACGCAACGCACCGAGTCACATTAATTGGGGGGGGGGGGGGTGTACCTAGACTTAAATGCAAAATGTATAGAACAAATAGTTCAATGAATGGTTAATATTTAGTTTGAAGTATGTAGGTTGTAATTATGTTAGACATAATATAATTTAATAGAATGTTTCAACGTTTTCGGTTTTCATCGTGTTCTTTTAAATACTAACTTTAAATTAGCATGAAATGGCCATACAGACGTAGTTCATCTGACTTGCTGCACTCAACTCATCGCAACAAATAGTTTTGATTAGTTCAACCACCTTTACTGCCCTCATTTATCACGCTCATTACATAATAAAGCATAGGGTAAAAACAGGTCAAACAGAAAGCCAATATAATGCTTTTAAAGTTTATAAATATGTTACACAAAAAAATTCAATCCAGAACAATGAACACCTAAAATTTTACGATTCTCAACGATTAAATAAAAAGATTTCTTAAAAGATTTCTGTGACTTTTTTTCCGATAAAATTTTTCCTTTGTGACTTTTTTTCTGTGACTTTTTTCCTAGCAAAAACTGACTTTTTTTCTGGGTTTTTTTTACCTGTGACTTTTTTCCCGTTCGAATAGATTACGTGAGTAATTAGATTAAACATTTTTTGATGTGCATACAATTTGAGTATTTTAAAAATATTATGTTGAGACCCACACGAAACTAAATTGCCCTTTCAACGGCAATACAAAATATAGGTGACCTCTGAATGACACTCATATGACCTTTGAACTTGACGAAAGGAGAGAGACAGGTCTAAATAAACAAACACGCACCTAATCATACTACTCTGTTAATTAGCCCGGTGAAAGGAATTGCGTTCACTAAGTGACATAATTAATTACCTTAATTAGATAAAATAAATGAGGAAACAATATTTGTGTTGGGGGTGGGGGTGGGGGGGGGGAGGGAGCTCATGATAGTAGTAAATGCTGAGTGACATGTGGACTTTTGTACAGAGGCCGATACTTGTACGGAGGCCGATACTTGTTGTATGGAGGCCGATACTTGTTGTATGGAGGCCGATACTTGTTGTACGGAGGCCGATACTTGTACGGAGGCCGATACTTGTTGTATGGAGGCCGATACTTGTTGTATGGAGGCCGATACTTGTACGGGGGCCGATACTTGTTGTATGGAGGCCGATACTTGTTGTATGGAGGCCGATACTTGTTGTATGGAGGCCGATACTTGTTGTATGGAGGCCGATACTTGTTGTATGGAGGCCGATACTTGTTGTATGGAGGCCGATACTTGTACGGAGGCCGATACTTGTTGTATGGAGGCCGATACTTGTACGGAGGCCGATACTTGTTGTATGGAGGCCGATACTTGTTGAATAGAGGCCGATAGTTATAGTACGGAGGCCGATACTTATTGTATGGAGGCCGATACTTGTTGTATGGAGGCCGATACTTGTTGTATGGAGGCCGATACTTGTTGTATGGAGGCCGATACTTGTACGGAGGCCGATACTTGTTGTACGGAGGCCGATACTTGTTGTACGGAGGCCGATACTTGTTGTACGGAGGCCGATACTTGTTGTACGGAGGCCGATACTTGTTGGATAGAGGCTGATACTTGTTGGATAGAGGCTGATACTTGTTGGATAGAGGCCGATAGTTATAGTACGAAGGCCGATACTTGTTGTACGGAGGCCGATACTTGTTGTACGGTGGTACACAGGATGTTTAGACATGTCTAGACAAGAGACAGTGTCTGGATACATTACCTCATTCCTTATCGCTTGACTGGGGAAGTTTACTTTTTATGACATGTCTAGACCTTTCCTACCCAATGTAAATAAACAGATGGGTTGGTATTAGCCTGGTCAGTCTGGGACCCGAACTAGGAACTTTTGGAATTGGGTGGCCAGTCGGCTCAGAGCCAGTCGGCTCATGGCCAGTCCAGGGCCAGTCGACTTAGGGCCAGCAGACGAGTTCTGGGCCACGGATGTATTTATTTACACCACGTGATCAGCTATCTAGTCCAGGCTATGTGCACGACAGCGCCTAATGAAACTTGTTGAAAAAACATTCACTGTCACAGGCCCGGGGTCAGGACGAGGATAGACGCTCTCTCCCACACAATGGACCCTCCCACCCCAGCCGCTCCCTCCCACACAATGGAACCTCCCACCCCAGCCGCTTACCCATCAGGTGAAGAGAAGCCCCCCCCCCCACCCTTTTACTTGGTCAAGGTCATGCTGAACAGGCCTCGGTCCGTCAACACACCTTGTCCCCCCCCCACCCACCCCATGGCGGGTGTGACAGAAAAGACAGGTACAAAACTTCCAGACCGCAGCTCGGTAATTAACGAGGGTCGTTAATGAGGGACACTAATTAAAACGATTCATATTGAAAGTATCTCTTTCGAGGTGTACATTCAGTGGGTGAAGTGGAGTTTACGTGAAGGGACAGTTCGTTTCTTGGATGAAGGTAAGGTTTGAAACAATACGTAGGTAGATGACGTACAATATAAACGTAGGTAGATGACGTACAATATAAACGTAGGTAGATGACGTACAATATAAACGTAGGTAGATGACGTACAATATAAACGCAGGTACATGACGTACAATATAAACGTAGGTAAATGACGTACAATAAAACGCAGGTAGATCAAAGGGTAGAGTTAGCACCTCACCCCACCCGTTTTATTACCACCTGGATAAACCTGACTGCTGTCTATAGCTACCATTTCTATTTAAATAAAACGTAGACGTGGTACAACTTTGGACCCATTAAACTTATTGAAAAGTTTGAAACAATTGGCAACACTAGATCTAATAGAATTCAACAATATACAATATAAACGTAGGTAGATGACGTACAGTAAAACGTAGGTAGATGACGTACAGTAAAACGTAGGTAGATGACGTACAGTAAAACGTAGGTAGATGACGTACCATATGCAACACAAAATCAAGACATATAATTTCTAAACTACTGAAGATGCAGATACTTTGTTTTTAAAACCAGTTTTCAGCCAATCAGCTGTCGACACGTTTTCTTGAACTCATGTCTAGCACGGCAGCAGCGTGACGTCACACACTGTAACACATTCTCACAGCTTCAAGTGGGCTACACTGCCTTGACGTCTGCTGCTATTTACTTTAGTACTCAGTTCGTATTTTTAGAGCCTCCTTAATGAAAGTATCGTCAAATAATAACGTCCAGTCATATCGATAGCTCCCCAGTCCCGATACTTTCTTGAGGCACTTGTGAGATTCTATATTTAGCAACAGTAACTGCCATTGTAGGCCTATTGCCATCCATTCATCTCCCCCCCCCCCCCCCCCGACATTCCAAACGGACTGACCCCCTCAGGTTAGCCAACTCCCGCAAGCCCTCCGCTTCATATGATATCAAGTAACAAGAGGGCTATTCCGAACACGATTCGAAGGACAGACTCGATACTTGTCTCGCGTTCATGCGATACTGACGTTCACACGCTCATGGTGGAATTGGGGAGGGGGGGGGAATGTTTCAATGCGTGTGATATTTTTAAACCCCTCCCGTAAATTGGTTATGAGCTGTCTGGTCCGTGTAGGGGTGCGAGGATTGTGCTGAGCTGTGTTGATGTGCTGAGCTGTGTTGATGTGCTGAGCTGTGTTGATGTGTTGTTGTGTTGTTTTGTGGTGTAGTAGCGTGCTTCTCCAGACGGTTCGGATCTAGTCTGCTGTTTATGTGGTGAGTTTCCCATTAACGTCAGTTAACTTCTGCTTGATCTAAAGTTAGTGTACTTTCATCGTCGTTTTACATTCATTTTGTCTAGATCTACAAGTTTAGAAAGTTAAATGATACTAGGCCTAATTCAATTAATTGACAGTTTACATAAATACATTACATCAAAACTATAAAAAGTATAGTCTAGGTCTGTATTTGACTGAAGTCTTAGATATGACCGAAGTCGAGATCTCTGTATGACTGGTCTAGATCTGTGTCTTAGCTAGAATTCCGCGCAATATCCGTAGATCTACGTGAGTTTCTTTCAGGCATCTCTTGTGGAATAGGTGCACGTTCGTAGCACCCCCATCCAACTAAAAAATCTAATTTCGCCCCAGTTACATTTTGTACTGTGTTAGCGTTATATTATTCCACTTACACTTACCCGCATAACCTTAAAAATGTGCCTTACTTGCAGATATTGCCTGTTAAAAATGTGCTTTATCTGCAGATATTATCTGATAAAAATGTTACATGTAAAAATGTATTATCTATCGTTACATGTAAAAAAAAATTATTCTCTAGCGCTAAATGTAAAAAAAAATAGAATATGCGTTGCCTGTAAAAAAAATCAAGGCCAAATGTTTCTTAAAATTACTTTTTCGCAAGGCCACATTTTTCCCAACCAATGGATTATGTGCCACCGTAAACAAGTCGTACGTTGTGCGGCCGTGGTTTTCGGCGTGTCTCCTCTACCCACTCTCTGTTAGTTTTATCTGGCCTTATAGTGCTGAAACATCTGGTGATTATTTCTGGGTAAAATTAAACCAAATAAAACTTAACTAAATCATTCAAGATTCGAAGCACCGAGAAGCGTTTAAAACGATTAAAATGGGGATTAGTGTAAATCGTTGTCTCCTAAACTGATTCAGCTGCCAGTTGTTGGCTTTGAACGTGTCTTCTTTCTTTCATTCAATTAACAAAACAGGCTGTCGAAAATGTCTCTTGTTGCGTCTAGCAAGCTGACAATTAATAAAACAGGCTGTCGAATATGTCTCTTGTTGGGTCGAGCAAGCTGACAATTAATAAAACAGGCTGTCGAATATGTCTCTTGTTGAGTCGAGCAAGCTGACGCGCTGAACATCTTAAAAGTTTTCTGACATATTTTGACACGAGGTACGGAGTTTAGAAATCCTTCCCCACCTAACCCACCCCTTTAGCAACAACCCTTTATATGAAGCAGCAATCGATCGAATTCGTGGTTTAAAATACAAAGTTGTGGTTGTGGTTTTGTGATTGTGGTTATTACATTAAATGAATGCAATCTCTCCATTGGCCACTCGTAGAGTCTCCATTATGTTCATGTATATGTCACCAATAGGAGTGATGTATCACCAATAGGAGTGATGTATCACCAATAGGAGTGATGTATCACCAATAGGAGTGATGTATCACCAATAGGAGTGATGTATCACCAATAGGAGTGATGTATCACTAATAGGGGTTCTGTATCACCAATAAGGGTGTTGTATCACATATAGCGATGCTGTATCTCGATTAGGGATGCTGTATCAGAATTAGGGGTGCCGTATCCCCATTAGGGGTTTTCTATCGCCATTTGGGGTGCTGTATTACCAATGTGGTTGCCGAAACCCCTATGATAATTAAACCCACACTTTAACAGCAGTTAGGGTTATGGGGAAAAATCCATCTCAAAGTTAAGCCATTCTACTGTAGCTATCTCCGTAACAAACAGAAATGAAATTAGTCGTGACAATTTCACAACGGTCCCTATTGAAGTGGGCGTGGTGTCCCCCAGCTGTGTGCCGCACGAGCTAATTAAAAGATCAAAGACCAATAGCAGATGTCTCCAAATGATAGAATCTCTGGTAAGGATCTCTAGCTTTGAATACATCCACACGATTCGGTTTTATTGCGTGAATAGTAGGCCTACATTATAAAATATAATAAAATAATCTACATTCAAAGGATATTTTTTTCTACAACTGTATGGTAAGTCTCTATATATTGCCGAAATACTAGGCCCATTATAACGTCACTAGGCCCACAATCACGTCATTAGGCCACAATCACGTCACTAGGACCACAATCACGTCACTAGGCCCACAATCACGTCAATATACCCACAATCACGTCACTAGGCCCACAATCACGCCACTAGGCCCACAATCTCGTCACTAGGCCCACAATCACGCCACTAGGCCCACAATCACGCTACTAGGCCCACAATCTCGTCACTAGGCCCACAATTTCGTCACTAGGCCAACAATCACGCCACTAGGCCCACAATCACGCCACTAGGCCCACAATCACGCCACTAGGCCCACAATCACGTCACTAGGCCCACAATCACGCCACTAGGCCCACAATCACGCCACTAGGCCCACAATCACGTCACTAGGCCCACAATCACATCACTAGGCCCACAATCACGTCACTAGGCCCACAATCACGTCACTAGGACCACAATCACGCCACTAGGCCAACAAGCATACAGTCACTTCATTAGGCCAAAAGTCGTGTCATTAGGCCAAAAGTCATCTCATTAGTCACAAGGGTTAGGCTGACCCGCCGGTCTACGGGGAAAATCTCAGTGGGTCCCCAGGAAGGATGCTGTAGTAGTCCTATTAGTGTTTTGATTTTTTAAAGTGTTGGTATGTAACAATTACTTCATGCTAAGACGTAACATTCAGGCTTTCACAAAGAAAAAAGCGGGAGTGATCTCCCCTAAACTTTCTCGTAAACGGAGATGGCAACTCGGGACATAGAGATTCTTTTTAATCAATTTTTTTGCTAAATCGAAGTCTCGAGTTCAAACCCTCGGGCAGATGAGGCTCGTTGGCTGTGGACAGCCACGCTTCAAGGAGAGACAACCCCAAAATCAAACAACTACTGCCTTGTAGTTTGTTCTTGGTTGGACAAAGGCTATGGAAGCAAATCCAAGAAGAAAAGCACCATTTCACACTGCTAGCCATAAATCACCGAGTTGCCAGATACGTTTCTGGTTTAAACGTCGGAGTAATTTACTGATCTGTTTTATGGGCAGTAGACGATAACACGCGTCATGGGCCTGAAGGACATGACATGTGTAGGACAATTGACTAAATGACATGTGTAGGACAATTGACTAAATTACATGACATTTGTAGGACAATTGACTAAATTACATGACAGTGGTAGGACAATTGACTAAATTACATGACATTGGTAGGACAATTGACTAAATGACATGACATTGGTAGGACAATTGACTAAATGACATGACATTTGTAGGACAATTGACTAAATTACATGACATTGGTAGGACAATTGACTAAATGACATGACATTTGTAGGACAATTGACTAAATGACATGACATGGGTAGGACAATTGACTAAATGACATGACATGGGTAGGACAATTGACTAAATGACATGACATGTGTAGGACAATTGACTAAATGACATGAAATGGGTAGGACAATTGACTAAATGACATGACAGATAGGACAATTGACTAAATGACATGAAATGGGTAGGACAATTGACTAAATGACATGACAGGTAGGACAATTGACTAAATGACATGACAGGTAGGACAATTGACTAAATGACATGACATTGGTATGACAATTGACTAAATGACATGACATGGGTAGGACAATTGACTAAATGACATGACATTGGTATGACAATTGACTAAATGACATGACATGGGTAGGACAATTGACTAAATGACATGACAGGTAGGACAATTGACTAAATGACATGACATTGGTATGACAATTGACTAAATGACATGTGTAGGACATTTGACTAAATGACATGACAGATAGGACAATTGACTAAATGACATGACATTGGTAGGACAATTGACTTAATGACATGAGTAGGACAGTTGACTAAATGACATGACATGGGTAGGACAATTGACTAAATGACATGACATGTAGGACAATTGACTAAATGACATGACATGTAGGACAATTGACTAAATGACATGACATGTAGGACAATTGACTAAATGACATGACATGTAGGACAATTGACTAAATGACATGACATGTAGGACAATTGACTAAATGACATGACAGGTAGGACAATTGACTAAATGACATGACATGTGTAGGACAATTGACTAAATGACATGACATGGGTAGGACAATTGACTAAATGACATGACATGTAGGACAATTGACTAAATGACATGACAGATAGGACAATTGACTAAATGACATGACATGTAGGACAATTGACTAAATGACATGACATGTAGGAAAATTGACTAAATGACATATGGGTTGGACCATTGACTAAATGACATGCCATGTGGGACAATTGACTAAATGACATGACAGGTAGGACAATTGACTAAATGACATGACATGTAGGAAAATTGACTAAATGACATATGGGTTGGACCATTGACTAAATGACATGCCATGTGGGACAATTGACTAAATGACATGCCATGGGTTGGAAAATTGACTAAATGACATGACAGGTAGGACAATTGACTAAATGACATGACAGGTAGGACAATTGACTAAATGACATGACATGTAGGAAAATTGACTAAATGACATATGGGTTGGACCATTGACTAAATGACATGCCATGTGGGACAATTGACTAAATGACATGACAGGTAGGACAATTGACTAAATGACATGACATGTAGGAAAATTGACTAAATGACATATGGGTTGGACCATTGACTAAATGACATGCCATGTGGGACAATTGACTAAATGACATGCCATGGGTTGGAAAATTGACTAAATGACATGACAGGTAGGACAATTGACTAAATGACATGACAGGTAGGACAATTGACTAAATGACATGACATGTAGGAAAATTGACTAAATGACATATGGGTTGGACCATTGACTAAATGACATGCCATGTGGGACAATTGACTAAATGACATGCCATGGGTTGGACAATTGACTAAATGACATGACAGGTAGGACAATTGACTAAATGACATGACAGGTAGGACAATTGACTAAATGACATG